CCACAATCACCACCACCATCATCGATCATAGATCACCATCGTCATCAACACCATCATCAGCGCCAAGTACCATCATCAGCATCGTCATCGCCATCGCCATCCACCTCATAACCCTCATCATACTTAGAGCTTATCACGGTCAGCCCAAGCCTGCAAATACGAGGTGTCACACGTGGCGATTCCCCGCGCCCCCTCGAACGCTCGCCACCAAAAATGATCGGCTAGCACGGCGGCGGGACTTGCCGCAAACGGGTGGGTAGCCTACTCGCGAGCACTGGCCGCAACTTCAAACGGGCCCCTCTGCAACCTGCACCGGGGAAGCAAGGGGCGCGGGGGTGGCGGCCCACAAGTCAAACCGAAACTCCGCCTGTGGAACATTGTTTACCAGTTGGCTCCAAATTCAGCTTGCAACTATGCATGATATGGCAATGCGGAGGATCACTGGCGGCCAACTCATGGCCAATTGTTTCAAGTCGCAGGCCTCTCACAGCAGGAAAGAGAAAGACAGCGTGTGACAAGTGACCAACCTTCCAATGCAAGCGAAACAACCGAAAACCAAAGACAGGGGGAGGAGTGGGGGGAGGGGGCAGCCCTGCGTTGAGGACTCAGGGGACACCCCCACCGCCTACAGGCGCGCCACCCTCATCACCTTTCGCCCCGACACTCTTTTCCCCTCCCTTTCTCACGCCCTCAAGGTTTGGGGCGTGGCGGTATTCTAGCTGGAACCCACGATGCATCAGAGCTGGAGCCTTGCATCAGGCTGGAGGTGAAGGACGCAAGGGCCGCTTCTCCCGACACTACTCCCTCTTGCATCGGGTTTCTCAGGCGGCCACTGCTCGAAGGAGCTCGCACGCGCGGCTGCCTCTCTACGCTGAGCCGCCCTCGGGCTCGTTTCAGAGCGCCCTCGCGCCCCCCTCCAAGACGCCCTCGGCGCCGGCCCCGCTGTGATCTCCGCTCCGTGCCGCGAGAGCGCGTGGCGCAGGACCCGGTCGACGTCTGCTCCCGTTTGCGTAGATGCGTGGATGGCCCACTGCAGCCTGACATTGCCCTCGACGAACGTGGACTTATTGATCTGCCTTTTGCACTGGGAGGGGCTCTCGCTCCAAAGTATTGGACCTCCTCCGCCATGATTTTCTTTCCCATCTTCATGGCGCGGTCCGCCCAGCGCGACTACAGCGCTGTCTTGGCGTGGCCTTCCTCTATAGTCGCGAGGGACCCCGCTGCGAAGTCCTTCGGCGCGCGTAGGTGAAGGCTGCCGAACTGCGCCGTGTCCGCGTTGTCTTCCGTCTTGTGGTCCTCCCGAAGCTTCATCGCTGCCCTGCGGCAGTCCTTGCTGGCCTCGGTCGCCGCCACGACGCAGGCGGGTGCCACATCGACGATTGCCGCTGTGAACACTAAGCTGAAGACCGCCCTGATGCCGCTCGCCATGCGAAGGACACGTTTGCGGAGGATGGCCGTGAGCTGCTGCGCGATCTGCGCCTTGCTCGAAACTCGCCCTGCTTGTCCTCGAAGTTGTTCGGTGATCTCCTAAGGCGCTTGACGCCTGAACCCGAGCTTGTGCCTTCCGTTGGTTTCGCGCCCTTCGTGGTGAGGTTCCACTTGGCGTCGCCGACGCCCCTCGTGAAGCCCTCTATCAAGACCTCCTCGTCTTCGAAGCCTCCAGGCACAGCGCGCGTTCTTGCCCGCAGTGGGCGGCGCTCGTGCGCCAGGTGGAACTGGAAGATGTCTAACAGGGTAATCTATGAGCTCCAGCCAAGAGCCTGCTACGTAGTCAAACCCAGGGCACTTCATTGTCTTCGGGCATTCTGCTGGGGCCATTGTTCTAGCCGTCTCATTTACAACATATAGTATCCTCCAACTCGCTGTCTCCGCCCAAGCGAAAGCCGTTTGACCTACTACAAATTGCGTGTATCCACGACCTGATGAGTTTGCCGGACGCGCGTGCGACGTGCGCGGTTGCAGATTGACTGCCTTCCGCATACCTGGCCCTCAACCTCCACCTTGCACGTAGATGCCTCTTCCACCTCATGAATATTGCGCTGATCCTCATACTCCGTGTGGTCCTCCTTTGCGGGTCTGAAGGTCGGGGTCGATATGATGCGTTTGAACTCAGTGCTGTGAGAATATGGACGTCTAGCTTGCAGAAATCCTCACTCCATTCACGTTTTGAAACCAGCCGCCAGATGCGGACCAGAGTGCTCTCGCGGCGTCTGTGCTTCCTAGGAACAGTTCGCGAATTAGTCCGCATCAGCTTGGGCACGTTTAACCCACGGGCTGGCGCCATTCGAATATGATGAGCCCCCGCCACGGCCGAACAGGCGCAGCCGCTGGCGGTGCCGAAGAATCGTTGCGCAGAACTGGCCAATGTTGGGCAGATCCACTGCCGCCTGGTGTAACCACGGGCAGCGTCCGCACTCCAGTCTCCACCTCCGCCGTGGCGACCTTCCAATGCACCAGCGCATCGTGATTGGCGGGTGTCCTGACAATGCCGTCCTCCTCCCCTTTCGGCAATCCTTGCCAGTGAAGCCACCACATGATCGATAACGTCGTACTGCCACATTGTCAGGGGAAGGGGCTTGCACAGCTGACACTGGTGCCTTGGTCGCCTATAAAAAACAACTTCCCCAACTTCCGTCTATCAAAACCGTGTTCCTCCACCTCCACGGAACTCTCAGTGCGCCCCACAACGATTCCATGTAACAAAATGCCGCCGCCTTTGACGCTTTGATTCTCTTACCCCATTCTATGCCAAAATTTGGGTAACGCATAACAATTGGGCCCAAATGACGTGCTTGATCTGTCAGAGCCCCGGCCCATGCTGATCTTTGGTTTTTTCCTCAGCCCTCTCCTCGCAATCCCGTTGCCGAATCCTTGTGAAGCCAATCTGCATACCTGCATAGTTGTGTTCTGAACCAGCCCTATCTGCGTCCATGATGGCATCGCTCTCGTTCAGCTTACCCCTCAGCGTGTCCACGATGACGCGTCCCCTGTCCGCTGGTTTGTGCTCTAAGGTCCTCTTCATAATGTTACGTGCGTACTCGTGGATCATGAGGTCAACATCCTCCTTCCAGGTCGGGCACGTTACCACAAATGTCCGATCTGTTTCATCCTTTTCACCCTTCTGGCTACAGCATTGTCCATGGCTGCGCGGCGTAGGAGAAGGACATGGGGAAGCAGTGCACAATAAGTAGCGCCCCTCCTCAGGCCTCCTTCCGTCGGTCGGACATGCGATACTGCAATACTCTTTCTGCTGCTGGTAGAGAGACACGTGCCATGATCATACGCTGCACAACACAC